CTGCTTCTGCCGTTTGCTGAACTCGAGTTTCTCCTCCACGCTGTACTCGGAGATCCAACCCTCCCGGGATCGAGCTCGCTTTGAACGTCGCATCTGCCAAACACGGGGATGAAAAAGGCTGAAGTAATAAAAAATTACAACGGGGAAAGGCAATCCCCGGACTCTCCAGCGGTTGTTAAAATTCTAATTATAAAATAGCTTCTAGCAGCAACAAACACAAGCCAAGTAATATCAGCTACTAGGAGGGTACATCTCTTTAGTGGCTCCTGAAAGGGAGGGATGAGAAATAATAAACAAACTTCATGAACTTTACTGCAAATTTGGGATCATAAGGATAAATAAAAACCACAAATAACTGAGGAAGGCATGCAGCATTTTTCAAACCTGGACTACCATTTGTAATGAGGATACCAAAAGCTTAAGCTTGTCATCACACTGCCATAAGGCATGTAGCAATATTCTTAACAAATCAAGTCAAGTTAATATTAAGTTATACATGACACACTGTAAAACAAACAGGTCTTTTTATCCTCTCTGACACTGTCCAGATAACTAAGATAGAGGGGTTTTGATGTTCTAACTGAATCTGACCACTGAACCTATTTACACCCACTATCCTTGCACATAAAACTTTCCGTAACAATGAATTACACAAAAAGTATAAAAAATGAAAGACAGAGGGAGTGTCATTTATTTTTTTTGTAGGGAAGTTCTGACAAAAACTAAGATTAAGATTACGATTATTGACGCGGGGGGGGGGGGATCTGGCGCATACAGCAGCAACAACATAATACTGCTGAGTAGGCAACACGAACACGGCCCTTCAAAAGTGATGACAATATAATGAAAACAAGAATGGGACCCTCCCCTCGCTTTGACAGTTTTATAGGAGATATTTTAGAGAATTTAAAGCAATAAATGTAAAATAGGAACCGGGGTCATAGGGGGGCAATTTTTGCCGTTACTGTGAAGGTGCACATGTGGAACAGCCAGCATGAAGGTCTCCAGGCCGCCACATGAATGGCGCTTTCATTCCGTCATAGTATGCTTAAAATGGGACTTCAGTCAAACCGCCAGACTGTTTGTTTGTTTGTTTAAGAGGGAAGGACTTCAGTTATCTGTGGTAAATGTTTTACGTACCGGTTAAGACCTGAACAAAAAGGAGGCGCGTTCGATCTCCGTCGCCTCGCCCCCACCCCCAAACCGAAAGGCTTAAACAAAGGACTCCATTGATTATACCTGTATTTCGCCACGAGTTGAAGCGCAAGTTTTAGCTGGAAAACTTATCGAACTCGTACGTTTTAGTACTGGCTAGATAGCGACGTTATGGGTGAAATTGCTAAAAATTACAACCAGACAGTGCCATATTTATATACATACTAGAGCCCTAGGTATTTGTTTAGCTATATACTATGGTTTTAACTCACTAACTAGAAAAAACATCCCAAACGCAACTGTTCACCGGAAAATATATTTGTATTTTTATTCGCTCGGTTTAGACAAATCCCATTTTAATGAAACTAGAAATGAGATAGCTGGTTGTGCGCTGCACAACAGGGGAGCGACATAATAATTTATTCCAGTTAAACGAGCAGTAGGTAATTCTGTCAATTCTGCCCTAACGGGTTACTTAAGACATACTAAAAATGTTGCTTTGTCGCGGTTACCAAATTTAACTCGGGGTTACAGTCGCCCACACAGAGCCGGCTAAACTAGCAGCTCACGCGACTAGGTTCTTCCCCAAAATCTTTTCTATCAAACGCACAGTTTATTCGACTGCACGAATTTTTACATTAGGTGCACTTACCTCTGACACTAAATGTCTAAAAAGTCGTGAACCGCGGTCCCGCTGTACCTCAGCACGACAATAACAACAATCACAAGCAAAGGCGCCGCGCCAGCNGCTCGATCCCGGGAGGGTTGGATCTCCGAGTACAGCGTGGAGGAGAAACTCGAGTTCAGCAAACGGCAGAAGCAGAGTTCCTGCAGCGCTGAGAGGGACAGCAAACCGCGGAGACGCAATCATCACTTGAAAACCTACGAAGGGTAACTTTGCCACCCGATTTTAAAGCACCTTGAGCCTGGAACGGAATGAGTAGTGTTACACAGATTTGAGATACTTTTAAATCTGTCTGGCCTGCCTGCTATTTTGTCATCTTGTGACATACATACAAAACATAGTTTTCTACAGTCATATTTGGCTTTATGAATGCCAGAATATTACAAGAAAAGGAAAAAATGCAAGCAAGTTTGTTTATTAGTAGTGTTGAAACCTACATGAATAAATGTATAATCCATTTAAGTGCATTGTTTTTTTTAAACGACGTTTCCTACTAATGTCTAAAATTTGTGAAGGTGGTCTTTCACAAGGCGTAGGTCCATTTAGCAGAAATTCCTGGTATTAATTGTCTTATAGGAATGGGGCTTATATGGGTTTATATTCTGAGGTCAGGTTAGGGGTTACTTTTATAAATGGATGTAATGTTGTGGACACTCCACTATTTGAATCGTCACATCGTTAGTGACAAGTCAGGCTAACGCTCCCCCCCCCCCACCACCTCTGACAAGTTTCTGAAAGGTATCACAAAAGTAAATCTGAATGTTTATCTGGCCCTTTCTAATAATAGCTGCCCAAGAGCTGACTTTTTCTGGAAGGAACCTGAAACCTGACGTTGCTGGCACTGGGCGTAACGTTCGCACCCCTGCTGGTGGGCACTTCTTCGTCTTACACGAGGATGCCTTCGGTGCACATTACCCTGTCAGTGTAGGCTGCCGCATGAATAAATGTGTTTTTATTTGTATGTGGTTTGCAGCAAGCTTCTTGTCTCATGGGCTGTGCCATTTTCAGGTAATCAGGTTCTCAATAAACACATTTTTATAGTATTTTGGTTGGTTTATATTGGTGTTGTATTGCATATGATGAATACAAGACGCGTCTATGTAGAGAGACTTCCAGTGAAATCTCGACAGCGGTATTACCACTAGATTGTAAACTGCTTGAAGTGTTTCAACTAGATCTATCCTTTTAAATGGTTGTCTTATGCATGGTGCAATTTTGGTTTGCTTGAATAACGTATTTAGTATTCAGCATTGCTGGAGTAATACTTTCATGTAGAAGGCTGTCAAACCAGGATGCAGTGTATCAGGGAAACATTGCTATTGTTCAGTAGTGCTGCTATTATTTTATGAATGTTTATTAATACTCTGAATATTTTTGTCGCTACAAAGAGTTTTCTTGTCAAGTTACGTCTGCAGAACACTGATCATTCATGGATCTATTTAAAAAAACAAAAACAAAATATGTCCATGTTTTGAAATACAAGTTATGATTTTTTATTTTTTTTTGCATTAAGTTCCTGTCATTAATATTCTTCATTTGTGCTCCAGATGAGAATATAACATCCTGCCTCTTATGCTGCGATTGTTCTGCTCTCTCTGTTCATAGGCATTACCAGGAATCTAAGACTATAAGCAGGAGGATGGAGTGTAAGGAGCGGCAGGCCAGGCAGCCGAGCCGGGAGTCGGGAGTGTATGGCAATGAGGGCCCACGCAAGGAGCTGGGCAGTGACAGAGACTGGCACCACTATAGCAAATCCTCGGCACGTA